CGGGGCCAGCGCCGGGCCTGCCGTGTGATGAGAGAGTGGGTGTGATGCTGTCTGTGAGCGCATGGAGCTTGAGTCGCCTTCAGGGGGCTGGAACAACCTAACCCATCCGACTTGGAGTGTCACCTTACACTGGACACCAGACCGGTTTAGCAGCAGACTCTGGTTTACTCCTGCAGCCTGTGTTTCTCTTGTTTTGTTTTGTTTTGTTTCCTTTTTTTTTTTTTCTCCCCCTCTTTTATTTTTATTTTTCTTTCGAGTTATTTTTCATTTCTTTCCTGTACGGCTTCTTTTTAGTTTGTTTGTAAAGTCAGAATTTCAGGAAGGCTTCCCTGTGCATTTGCACCAGATGAATGTTTGATGTTATGAAAAGCTTTTCCATATCATCAAAACTAATTTGTAGATTTTTGCATGGAAAAAAAAAAAAAATCATTCATTTCCCTTCAAACTAGACTGTGTTGCAGTACACAAGTTGCCATAATAGTAGAAAGCAGTAAAATGTGGTAATAAAAAATCTCATCCTTTTCATTTTCAAAGATAACATGAAGACCTTTGCATGTGGTAATCTACAGCATAGTTCATTTTTAGATTTTGTTGAGTCCTGTAACCAAAATGTTTCTGTTGTGGTAGGATACCGTGCTGTGTTTCAATGTTACTTGTTTTCAAACTTTGTTTTCTATGAAAATGATATGGAAACGTCTAAAAATTGAAATTTGGTGCATATGTACTGCCGAATAAAGACCGAGAAAAGAGGTGTGAATAGATGTACAAATCAAGTCATGGTTTGAACACCTTTAATATGCCTAATCCAATTGTTTTAGACTCTTTTTATCTTAGATGTAGGCAGCCATGAACAATCTATTTTGAGCCACTTTAGAGAGAAAACTTTGTATTTTTAAAACTTGCACAAAAAGGATGCAAGTGTTTTTATAATTGGAGGAATGCCTCAGTTTTGAGGTCCTGCACACTAAATTCAAGGTGAGGTTACAAATTTGTACAAACTGAACTCTTTATAAGGTGGCTCATTGTAGGAAATGCTGTGCCTTCCCCTTTGAGCACAAGTGTTGCATGAACAACAGTTTGCTATAATAAATAAAACATACCAGATTAGCCACCATTAGCATCTATATCTACCTTGTGTTTTAAAAATCAACTGGTAATTCTGAAACACTGTAGAATGGATAAAGATTATTTTGTGATCATAACTCTTTGTTGGACTAGAGTATTTTTGCAGCATTCCTTGTCATCAGAAACATGGTTAAAAGTTTAAAACTAGAAGCAGCGGAAACTAGCTTGTGAATTTATCCAAGTAGAGTGCAGGCTAGGCTGTCTTGGGGAAAATAAACATTAAAACTTGCAATTCTCGTGCTTTGGGTGCTTCTTTCTCTAATACATTCGTTTTTCATCAAAAGGTGCAGAGATTATTTGAAGAAAGTGGCTTCCTGAGTCTCTGGCGTGAGGTTTTTACCTGCCAAAGGTCTGTGTGTGGTGTGGAGGCACGTCATTATTTTGGTATAAACCCTAAAAAATAACTGATTTACTTAATTATGTATTCACTAATAAATTAGGGATGTTTTAATGTTAAATGAAGGGAAATAAAATCCTTTTTAAGGAAAATTCCACTCAGTAAATTACCATCTTCCCACTAAGCCACCTTTGTGGAGGATGTGCTGTAGAAAATCGCTTTATTAGAATCTTTTCTTGTTGGGGGAAGGGGAGAACAGATGTTTGTGGCAACTTTGCTGAACTTTCTGAGCAGCTTTCTTAAACAAAAACCCATCAGAACACTGGCAAGGTCTATAATTACTGCCCAAAAATGCTTTTTTTTGGCACTTCCCTGATGTAATATAATTACAGTAAATTACCTTAAGCTGGTGCTCTTCGGGCTTTTTGCCTTTTTTCGTGGGTTTTTAAGTGAAAAATTCTCCTGCCCTGCTTCCCAGCAGATCCTGTCACTTGTTGGTTCACCAGAATATGGATAACTGAAATATTCCAGCCTCCACAGGGTGGCACTGCTGGAGTTCTTTGGGAGCAAAACTGAAACCACTTTGTCCGGTGCCTTTTTTTCCCGCTAAAGTTGCAGTTTGAGGTAATGGAATTAAATACTTTGTTGGAGAAAGGGAGTTGCTTGGGAATCTTGGGTATAAACAATAAATAACTTGGATTGCCTTTAGGAATATTGATCATATTGAGGTTGGATAATTATCAACTCTTCCTGTGTTTGGGAGTAAAAAATTCTCGTTTCAGCTGAACTTAGGGGAGCAAATATCCAGAAAAGGATTTAAAAATATTAAAAGGACAACAATCCATAAATAATCCATAATGCCAGGTAGGATTTTTATCCCAAGGAGCAGCAGCATTGCTGGACCAAATAACTGCCCTGGAATTTTGGGATCTGAGAAGAATATGATGCTCAATGGAAAGGGGTAGATTGAGAGAGATTGACCCTCTTTTCTTTCTCTCCCACTGCTGGAAGTGGAATTTTCTCTGGTTGTGTGAAGCCTTTCAGTATTTCAGAGCCATTTCCTGGATCATGGAGCCCTGGACAGACCTATTTCCCATCCTCTGGGGGATCACAGGCATTCCCACTGAGCTGTGAACTGCTTTGGTAGTGGAACAGGTTAGTCTGTGTGAAAATAATAATTTATGGATAGGATGTCACTCTATTAAAATGAAATACTGGCTAAGGCAGCTTTATAACTTAAGAATGTCTTCATATTAATACTTGTAGATTTTTGCCACTTTTAACTGTAAGTGTTTCCTCATCTCTGCGTGTCACCAAATTCCTGGCAGGAAATCTGGTCCTGAGGCTGGGAGCAATTAGAGAAGTCCTGCATCTGGATCAAATAGACTTTGTGAGAGGAAACTTAGTAGCAGGAAACGTGTAAAGTTACAAACTCTTAACGTTTTTAGCTACTGCTGGAGTGAAAAATGGCACAAAGAATAGATTAAAAGAAGGTAATATTGGTTGATTATCTACAGAAAAACGATTGGAAACCTAATTTCCCTAAAGGAATATCCATTTTTGCTTGTAAATCCATTCTAAATGGGGGTCCTGTATTTGTTCTGCTGGTTTGATGTGCTCCAAAGCTGAGGAAGAGCTTTTATTAAAAAAGAGTTGTCATTAAAACTGCTGTATGTAAATACCTTGGATATACTTTTAAATTAGGGTGTTGAGGAGCTGGAGAAGCATCTTTGGAGAACTATTAAATAGATTTAGACCTTGCTGAGCGTGGGGTGGGAGAGAGAGGGGAGTGGTACAATACCATGGACAGCTACAGACTTGTCATCTGAAAAATAGAAAAATATGGTTGTCTTGAATATATGGAAAAGAGGAACCAGTAATTATAGTTCAGTGTTGAAAGCAAAGGGGGAATTTCCCCAGTTTACTCCAAACTCTAAAATACTAAAAGATACACTGATTATTTATATAGCAAAGTAGGAAAATAGTAGCTATTGCTAGCTGTGGATTGCTTGTATTTTATCTCATTCCAAGCAAAAAAAGAAAAAACATATATCTTGCACCTGCAGTCTTGTATGAGCCTCTTTGATTTATTTTTAATCCCTTTTCCTCCCCTGCCCACTTTAGAAGCAAAAATAACAATTTTACCAAGCTCCCTCCACAGGGTTTGTGTTGAAAGCCAGTGTACACAGAGCCAGGATTACAGGGAACGTGTAATTAGAAACTGTAATTAACAGCCAGTAGATATTTTGTAACAAAAGTCAGAAACAATGAGAGTGGAAAAATGTGTGGTAAAACTATGGCAGGTAGTTTGTTAGAGGATGAGATTTTTTTATTAGCTAGAACATAATTTCATATATTTCCCAGATATTTGTATAAGGTCCTCTAAATACCAGTTTAACATGTTTAGGTGAGTTTTGGGTGGTTTATTATGATCTACATGACAACATTAAAGGAATTTCATTTCTCTTTCAAGTTCACTGTGAATGCAGCAGCTGAGAATGACTTTACAGTTTAGTTCAAATGAATCGGAAATAAACCCTTGGACATTCCGAGGGCTGGGGCAGCCACAGCTCCTCTGGGCAAACTGTGCCAGGCCCTCCCCACCCTCCCAGGGAAGGATTTCTCCCCAATATCCAGTATAAACCTACTGTCGGTCAGTTTAAATCCATTCCCTTTGTCCTGTCGCTCCAGGCCCTTGTCAAAAGTACTTTATAATAATCTTCAGTAGCCAAAGCAGGTAGACGTGCTTCAATTTAAGTATGCATTAATTTTTATTTCTGTGGTTAGCAGCTCCAGAAGGCCAGGTCCTGCACCCCCAGAGCAGGAGGTTTCACGTCTCCGGGGTGAATTTGTCCTCAGATGGTGAAGGGGAATGGGGTCTGTGATTGTGGTTGCAGAGGAGAGCAGGACGGAGCTCCCTGTGGGTGCCAGCGGTGCCCGGGGCAAGGGTTTGCCACGGGGTGCTCCGTAAGGTGCCATCACCCCTCAGCCCTTGTATCGCTCCATCATTATGATGCTGGCACCGAGGGCGCCGTTCCCGGTGAGCATCCTCCTTCCCCCTGCCTGGACAGTC